CCCCCCCAAGTAACTGGGACTATAGGTGCCCTCCATAATGCCTGGCTATCTTTTTCTTGTAGTTGTCATTGTTGTTTGGCAGGCCTGGGACAGGTTTGAACCTGCCAGCCCTAATGTATGGGGCTGGCACCCTAGCCACTGAGCTACAGGTGCCGAGACAAGGGTATTTTTCTTCATAAACCTATATTGTAACAAAGAACTTTTCACTTAACTTAAATGAAAGCAGACTGAACTTAGAAGTATAGGGATGCAAGCAATGAAGCAGTTAAAAAATATCTTCTTTTAAAAATAATTTTAATATACCATTTTCCAGCAGCATATGCGATAGTTATGGCTTAAAGAAAGTCTTGTTCTCGCACAATGTTGAAGAATTCTGTGAACATGAAAAAAACTACTTAATCATTTGCACACAGTGAGATTTTCCAATTGCAGCTACCCATTCTCAAGGCCATACAACATTATAGATGGCAAGTTAACTCATTTACACTGAAATGTGTTGGGAACTCTTTGCTTCCAGAAATCCTTAAGCCCCAAGGCAACTAGTGTTACTTTCCTTTGTGGCAATCTTAACCTACTTAAAGCCATTCTTCTAATTTTTAGCAGTGAAATTACTCCATGGAGGACTCCTTTTTAAGAGGTGATTCACAATGCCTAGAACAGGGGTCCTCAAACTTTTTAAACAGGGGGCCAGTTCACTGTCCCTCAGACCACTGGAGGGCCGGACTGCAGGCCCTGGTGTGAGTCAGCTGCTAAGCAGGACAAGCAGTGGTGGCAAAAACACCCGGCGGGCGGGATAAATGTCCTAGGCGGGCCGTAGTTTAAGGACGCCTGGCCTAGAAGGTTTAGCAAAGTGGTAGGGATATGAATACCCTCAAAGTGGTAGGGATGTGAATCAAGTATTCCTGGGAAGTCAAATTACAAAATATGTTCCTTTATATCTCTATTTTCAAAGGTGTTTAGACATACATTTATAAAAAGAAATAAGTTAACTCATGTTCCTTTATATCTCTATTTTCAAAGGTGTTTAGACATACATTTATAAAAAGAAATAAGTTAACTCAACAATCCACTTTCATACTTCTGGATGCCACAGACTGACAGAATTTAAGAAAACATAAACCAAAGAACAAAAATGGACTTCATCTTTAGTATACTCTCAGAAATCTTTATTATTCTGAGGTTGATAAAGAAGTATGAAATTTCAAATATATCATCAAATCTCCATGGTGATTTCAAGGAACAATAATGCTACCACACTTACCCAGAGAAAAGCACTTATTTCCTTTTAGCACAGGTTCAGCCAATATAAATGTTAC